TTATAAAATTGCACCTCGATTACATTCATTTTCATGGCACTGAGGATTTTCTGATTGTTTTGATTCTGATTGTAGGATGAAATAAGACTTCGGTTCACGCTCAAGCATAACAAGAGTCATGAATGCTGTACTAAAAAGTCCACACTTTTGTGGCAGTTTTGGGAATATATTCGTGCTCACTGTTGTTTGGAATGAGTTGAATCATCAGACGAGTCTTTAATCAGATAAAAAGAAACCATCAGAAAAGCATCTAGTACAACATAAATTTTAGGCTTGTTTTGCTAATCTCATGACCTCCTTAACATTACCTACATACTGATCAATTTTCATAACTTAGAGGCCATGTCTCAAAACCAGGAGTATGACTATACAGGTCATCCCAAACAAGTTCAAAGGCCATAATCTGTCTGTCACACAGCCCTATATCTGCTGAGCACTTCTGACAGCGTGACAGGCACTGCACTCAGATCAGTTTACTGCAATCGAGCTGGTCTGCAAATAAATTATTTTGTAATAATCCACATTTTTACACAACCTTCTGTATTTTGAACCCTTCCAGTAACTTCTTGTATAAATATTATCTGAAACAAAATAAAAATTATAAAAATGATTAAAAACTATTTTTCAACCATTATCTAAAGGTACATTATATTGGCTGTCACACTTTTCAGATAAGAACATTGATGCCTACTTCCTTCTCTATTTTCAATGATGACTGAAGAGTGGACAGTTTCCTCCTAAAACACCAAATTTTAGATGACTGATGTGGAGATTAAAATCATGCAGGATCATTTGACGATGATTTAGTTATGATTAAGGTAATTTAGTACCAGGTGCAAAGTTAATTTAGACAGGACACCTGGTCCCTATGGCAAAATAACATAATAAAACTGTAACTAACCAGAGAAAGTTTGCAAAATTATGTCTGACTGGTAAAGGATGGATTGACATTTAAGATATCAAATAAGCTAAAACTAATGCTTAAAGTCAAAATAAATGAGCAAGGTGTTGGGGAAATGAGAAATCTTGCTCTTAAGTGCATTGATTTGCTTAATCAGTTATCAATTAGTGCATTAATTTAATGAGATGTTCTCCATAGACTGTATTCTTTATGTATCAAGAAGAGTATGGTTAAGGCCCTTGCCAGCAGCAATATGAGCTTAGTTCAGTCTGAGGGTGACCACTGAGACAAAATAAAGTGCTTCGGGACACTCGAGGTGTTCCTTGTCATTTTGGTCAGTATCACAGACTCACAGAAACTACCTATATCCCAGGTCACTTTCAGGAACTTTTTTGAAAAGCTTAGTTTATGTGACAACTACCTGAAACAAATGTTTATGTTACTCGGATACCTAGCTCCAGTAACCTTACCCATAACTGCCTTGTAGAGTACTACAGAGTCGTTATCAGTCTGCAAAATACATTACTTTTTCAGCTAAAGACAATTTCCAAGATGGCATTTAGCTAACTAGTGGTAACGCTTGCAGCTTTCCAAGACGTGAAAAATGTAAAGATATTGCATTTTTCTTGAATATGTGGTGTATGGTCAATTAAAGCTGGCTGCCCCGATAAGTCAAATGTCAGAATTGTTACTGTTGTTGTTTAATTAAAATAATAAATTCGCACTTAGGACTAAGCTAAGTTGCCCGTCTACGATATCTAGCCATCCAGCTGCTCTAACCCAGGTAAACTAGCTAGTTACCATAGGTAGTGTGGGTTACCTGCTTAGCCGAAGCCTTTGTTAGAGGCGCATGTTGTTGCTACAAGAAGGTTGTGCGTGGCTTGCTTTGCTACAAAAGCAGGAAAAATCGTTTACCTGTAGGCATGATTTCCTTTTATAGTAACAGAGCATTATAGAGAAAGGTGGATACTAGCATTGATTCCGGCTAACTAGCTACCAAACGTACTTAATTGAAGTTGTGATATTAACGATGCTCTATTTACGAATATCAAGGTATCCCACTGGCTAGCTAACTAGCTACCTCCCAAAAATTCCACTAAACCACATCGACAGCGATGTGTCCTATTTATACTAGCTCGCTGGCTAGCTAGCCAGCTTGCTAACTATAATGTCACTGCAATGATGTTACATATTCCAGTCCTTACACGTGTTAACACCCCCTTAAACTCTTCACAGGGACATCGCCGCTACCCCACAATACGACCTCACCTACCTGAAAGCCACACTCACCGGATCGGGCATCAGTTAGCTAACCTCTCGCCACACCGCATATATTCCCAAGGACACAAAAAACGCCATGACAGTTAAGAAAAATGCATAAAAAATTAGAGGGGGTGGGAGACGGAATAAAAAAAAAAAACTCCGTGCAATTTCTTAATCCTTGTAAAGCACAAGAGCCGTGGAGTTCATTCATGGGGGATGCACGGAGTTCAAAGCTAGAGAGCCGCAGCTTTACCCTGCAAGGGACATCAATAAAGCACAGAATAATAAATAAAAGTTAAAAGATCTACTTACCTAAAATGGCTACTGCAGCAGCCAAAATACAAACAGCTATTATTTGGTGAAGTTTAGCACTGGAAGCCTGCAACAACAGCCTAACCTTAATTGGACCCGCATTATTTTATTTTTCATTGGCTGAAAGCTAGCGCATCTGGGTCGATGAATATTTCCATTGGTCTACTAGCTGTCAAACAAGGAGTGCCGTTCTACGTTTGTCTGAGAGCGACTTATTGCAAGCACCATTGTGCACTTTTAGTTATTTGCATTGATGTGAGCTATTTTATGATTGGTTGTCGTTAGTAACATGCAGATCATTAAACTCCGCGAAATGTCAGACTTTCCGTGATTCAAATGCATATTTTGCGCTTAAGGGAGGATTTGTTCAAGCAGATTCATCGTATTCCCGGATTCAGCGCTAGGTCTCCGGTGGTTTTATATTTCATGTTCCTCGCATCCACCAATCATGGTGCTTTTTACTCCATCATTACAACGTTTAAGAAAAAAAAAAAGCTCAACATTCCACGTCTTTGCTCATGTTTCGTTTCCCGGATGTTAAATATCCTGCATTAAGCAAAGTCCATGGCGAACTAACTAGAGGTTGGGATGAGTTAGCGCGGCGATGTCCCTCCCGTCTCTGTGACTAGCAGCCGTACAGGCGCATTAGTGACACTATTTGGTGACCAGTCTGAACTGTTTCCTCGGTTTGGTTTTGTAAGGCACAGGACTTGTACATCGGTAGATACTGCCCATTTCTCTAATATCGAACCCACGTGCTCAGGAAATTATATACTTTGAGTCGGGTATACAGTTGAGTCAGGAAGTCCATGGAAATCATACCCTTAAGCTCATAGTCAGTCCCTTAACAATGTGTGGAAAGCTGAAGACTTCATCATTTTATCCGTCTATCGTGAATGCATGTAATCTGCTAGGGTATCTATACATCAGGACAACTGCATGAAATATGGTCCCTGTTATATTGTGTATTCCATTAGAGTAACCCTTATCCTCTCCAGGATCCTGTATAATTATTGTGTCAAACACATTCGTTCACCCAACTCAGATCCATGTTCCATATCTCGGAAGTGTTAGCTCTTGGTAAGGTCACCATAATCAATAATCACGATCCATCCAAATACATTCCTGGTTCTTCCAGGATGATCCCCGCCTTCAGGTCATCTTGGCTGCTGATTCTGCATGGATGGAAGGAGGTAATGGCACTATACTCCAGTTGGCTTCAGTTGACACTCCCGCTCTCTTAACTGTAGGCATAAAAGGATGTAGCACATATTACTTAAGCCATCAGTAAAGTTCCCGGGTGAACAGAACATGCCACATCCTTTCCAGACTGCGGGTGACCCCTTCGACGTCAAGTAGCACTGACTACCCTTCAGACCTGGTGACTGTATCTCTCCATTGTAATGCACTGACGTAAGAGACCATTGTCACAGGGCTGTGGCGATACTGAAAGGGTCTATCCCATTCACACCACACAAAGCTGCCATTTACCTTCTTGTGTAAGGAGTGTAAATTATGCTCTGGCAATTTTTAAAGGAATTTTTGTCTTATCCACAATATTCCCTATTCCCTTTATTCTATATATTTCCTTTATTTTGTGACATACACAACATTGCTTTAGCATTAGTCACCATAACCAAATTGAATGACAGCAAATGGCCACATGTTAGTGTACACTAAAAGGCGTTTTAAAAAACCTTCACAAACCATGAAAGGCCATTATCATGCTATATCCTTCTTGCTTTCAATTGCAGAGGGAGCGTACAGAGTGATTGCAATTTGAGAAAATTAGTCAGAGTCAGGAAAAAAAATGTAAATTAATTGGAGACTTTCCCAGTCGGTATTACTTCTTATTTCATTTTCATACTGATCTTACTTGGCCAGACAAAATGAATTGAAGTTAGAGGTAATTTAGGTATGTAGTTCAAGCGTGGCAAATATTTCACTGTACTGTTCCATTATATTTGGATGATAGAATCTCATGGATCATATTGAAACTTAAATAACAAGAAAATTGACCAAAATATTTAGATGAATTGACAGTATTAAAAGTAGGTAGACAATTGTGCAATTTGAGTTTTTTTTCATGATGTACCCTACATAACCCATAGCATTGGGTTTTGATGGACTTTCTTAGGTGACTTTTTTCTTTTGGCTATGCAAACACTTTTACGAATGCTTTTTAGTTACAGTGGCTAAAGCTAAAGGGGAAATACTGGTAGAATATCTCATTGTATAATTGGAATATGAATGGAAAAAAACATCTGGACTGGTCAACAGTGTCATGATATGTTGAAAACAATATTGTAAAAAAAAATGCCAGAATACTCTTAAAATCCAACCAATCTTTTTTTTGAGTATCTCTTTCAGCTTACCTGAAATATTGTTTGTCATGCGAACAAGAACCTTTTCCCATTCCATACTTCAGATGAAAGTTTTGAATAACAGAATGGAATGAGACAAAACAGATGGCTTGACTTCACCGCATACAGTAATACAAAGTCCGCTTTGGTAGTTTTATGGGGGCTGCCTGTAGTCTAGTGGCTAAGGTACATGACTGGGACTCCTGAGGTTGGTGGTCCAAGCCCCAGTGTAGCCACAGCAACAACACCCTTGCTGTTGGGCCCTTGAGCAAGGCCCTTGAGCAAGGCCCTTAACACCACATAGCTCCCAAGACCCTTGGTTAGCCCAATCAACTGTAAGTCACTTTGCAAAAAAAGTATTAGCCTAATAACTGTAACGTATGTCTGGTGTATTGTTAGGAGTCTGGCTTATTACAGCAGCATAACGACATCAGAAAATTCTGAGATCGCATGCATTATGGAAAAACAAGGCTTGTGTATGAATGATACACATGAGAGCGCACAGTCTGCAAGTTTTGGGTACAAAGGCAGTACAAAAGCTTTCTGACCACCGTGATTTCAAAAGCCGTCCATGGTTTGTATAGTTTTACCATTCATGCTCCTGTGGTCTAGACAACGGAAATACCCCAGATCAATTCACACCCACAGCTGGGTCTTGGACGTGATGACCCAGCAGCTCTGAGGTGTGGCGGTAAACATATGGCGTATAGTTTTTTGAGTGAAGGTAAGCCATGTGATGTGAAAGCGGTTTTAGTAAATACTTCATGGACGTATCCCACCACATATTCTCTCAATGCTGAGCCATTTTATTCCTGCATTTTAAACAGGAAGCCATGTTTTTTTTTCTTTTTTCTTTTTGAAATGTAATCCTTACCTTAGTCTGGCAGTAATAAGGGCCATGTCCAAGGTTAGCTCTTCCATTCAAGCTCCCATTTACAGTGTGTGGGAATTTCTATTTTTGTTTCTCCTGTGTCTCTTTGACTAACATATTGTCAAAGGTCCTGTCCAGTCATATTTTCCATGTAAACATTGTATTTCGGTAACAAAATAATCACTCATTATGATTTTTTGTCAGTTAGAAAGTATGAATGTGCCTGTCAGTGTCGGTCTGGCTGTTGGCCGGGATCGTAAGGGTGTGGACTTCACATTCATGAATATGCATGAGCCTTGATTGACAGTATGTTAGAAACACCTCCTTTGTCACACATGAAACCCAAAGGTGCAACTTTGCTGGGATCTAGCAATATCATAACATCCAAAAACATTAAATGCAATTTCAAATATATTCATATATCTTCATCTGGGCAAGACAAAAGGCTTGTCTTGAATGTAGCATGGGTAGTGGACAACCAGACATGTCAGCCTATATTAGAAACAGCAGCCTTGCTGGGGTTCCAACATTGACATGGGTCAGAATCCTTGTGCTGCACTATGGACACCTTGTTGAGTCCATTACCCAACAAATTCAGTGCGCTGTAGGCATTTGAGTTTGAAAACATATATATGTTGAAATATGCAGTAAAATATTAATAAAGGACAGTGGTGGTTAAGATAATGTTGTTTCTGAGCTGCAGTGATTATGATGCAACACGTGTGACCGCGTGGTTCAATTTGTTAGCAATTTTGCAATGAAAACAAGATCATTGAACAGGACATATTATCATTGACATGGAACGCATTCATTTTTATTACTTTGTTTTTCAAAGAGATTTTAAAGCAGAAACCTCAACACCTCATCCACTGAATCCCATACAAATGAGGTCTCTTTGATGGACTAATCAAATATGTACGAAACACTGCAGGGTGTTATCATTGTTGGGTCAAAGGGCACTTATCAAAGCAAGATGAATGCGTAACCTTCATCTTTATGTTGAGTTATTCTAAACTCCATTTTGGTTCTCCCTTTCCCCCTTTTCTGGACCACTCAAAGGGATCCCCACTCCTGTATGGAAACTGTCCCCATGGGTGAAGTTGACACCACACTAAGTAACCATTGATTAACACTTCACAGCACACTTTCATGCGCGGATTTTCCCCCTTTTTTCCAGATTAATGGTTCCTTCAGCTGGAGCGACACAAACGTGCACCAGGGCCACAGTCAGTGCCCACAAAACAGCGCAGAATGTTTTTTTTTAATAGTTGAGTTGAACCTGCTATTGCAAACATATGAACCACCAATAAAATAAATAATTATTCAGATATTTCATTCCTTACATCCTTAGCATTCCTGACAAATGAAATGAGACAAGCAGTGTTAGATGACATGACACTGCTTCTAGTTAAACACCAAATGGGAACAAACTCCTCTTGAAAGCCATTGCAGAGCATTTTCCACCATTTGGAAGAAATGTATCACTTAATGAGAAAACTGTAGCAAACTGAAACAAAATGTTTTGTTTCTGGACTTGGACACACCCACCAGGAGTCTGGTCCAATGAGCTGAAGGTTTAGATGGCTGTGTCAAACAGAGCCTGTAGCCTGTTGCCCTACTGGCCTTGCTAGCCTAAGAAAGCATTTTCTTTCATTTCTAATAAATAATCACTGTAAATATTTTGTGCTTTCTTGGCACTTCTGAAAAATAAAGACAAAAGAATCACTGGGTTTTCTGTTGCTGCTATCTCAGTGATTCACTTCCAACATCCACTCTTGGCTGAACTAGTACGGGGGTTTTATTTTCTGTGATTTTTATTACTTAGGAAACTTGTGCTTTTCTCCCTCTCAAACCATCAAAAAAGTAAATTGTGGCAAGTAAATTGTTTAATTGGACCTATAGTAGCAGTTATTAAGCGCATAAGCAGTGACTATTATGTTAAACTGAGAGGACAGATTGAGGCAATGTCAATATGAGACATGCCTATATCTGTAACCATGGTATCCCCCAAGCTAAGAATACAACAGCATTGTCACTGGTGAGCATCGGGCTTTCTTTCTGTATGTATGAGATTTATGCCTGTAATTAAACAAAAAGAATCATACTTCATCAATCACTCTTCATAATTGTTGATTAGCACCCGATTGATAAAGCTACATTGATTTTTTTTATTATTATTACTTTTGTCTGAAAGTAATTAGCTTTCCCTTGCAGATTTTCCAAGGTTAAACGAATGTATGCTTCTTATCACGAGGTTGCAAAAAAGATTTTAAACAATCAGAGTTACGCAAATATTGACCATGTAAAATATAAATTACTACATCAAATCATTTGTAATTGAGAAATTCGATTAGCCAAAAATACATTTCATGCTTTAATGTAGCAAGAGCCACTGAGCGGACATGACAGAATGAGCTGCAGGCTGACTGAATCTTCGTTCTCCCTAGAGTCTATGCAATCTTTACTGCCAATACTATGTAAGAAACCTGCAGATATTTTATTGGAGTCATACAGTTCATAAGTGTAAAAGGACATACACTTTAGTTGATTTCACCCAGAAAAAAAAACACAATTAAGGTCACTTTTAAAATAAATACAGATTCTGATGATAAAGGTAGCAAAAACAGAGGACCCAGGTGATAACACATGGGTATGGACTATGGTCAAATTCAACATTGATTCTCAACACTGACTGACAAATAAGTTCTTTTTTCGCCAGCTACATCGCCTGTGCGACTCTGAGCGAAGCGCTCTGTCTTGGGTTGCATCGAGAATAGCAGAACTAGTCATGCTTAAGTACTGGATTAGGTTGGACGAATAGAATTGCAGAATAATGAAAAGTGGCCATGTCAGAGTCCATCCTCTAGGTTAACCGATACGGTTCTATGACAGAGTTCAAAGGGAGCCATGTCTCTTTGTCTGGACTTCTGTGCATCTCAATGTGAGTACAAACATGGAAGAAAGGGATGTGTTTGGGGGAGGCAGGTGTGAGCTCTGCAAATGGAAGTTTGAGTCCAAGCCAAACCATTACCAGCAATGCCTGGAGGTACGCATTGGGGGGGCGAGAACTGGCCCAGGAAAGATTGATCACTTTTGGTAACACCTCAAGCTCTTTGGTTTACCTACTACTGGCATGACTTTGCGAACGAGGTAGAGTCGTTTCCTGTTCGCCCCGTGCTCTGAACGGAGGTAATATCGTGCCAGTCTATTTTAGCCTCATCCTAACTCCCAGATCCATGTCATGAAGCAACCTGGAAAACATACTTCTAGTACATGTATACAACACAAACCTTGATAATATGGTATTTATCACATGGCATGTTGGTTCTATGTATTTACATATAAAATGATCAGGTGTTTTTGCTGTGTCTAGGGGTGAAATGCCAACTTGCAATGTACTACTGCATCACAGCTTCAGTGTTGCCAAATTAGTCCACTAATGTTAAGTAATGACTGGCTAACTGAGATAGACATGAAGTATAATTACACAGATTGCCCCACTAGAAGGTGTAACTCCCACACCGATCTCACTAGACCAGATCTGGATACAGATAGAGAGGTCAGATTTTCAGTATTTTCAGTATTTTTCAATATTTACAGGGAAAATGCATTTGAGTTGCACATTACTTTGGTCTGGATTTGGCCCTAAGTAATTTCTGCATATCTGAAAACACAATGTACTTAATTATATTTCATTATTATACTAGCTTATACTGAAACATCAAAACAAAGTACGCCTATGCAATCATGCGATGAAAAGTGAGCCAAGATATAAATCTTTTGTGAACTGCAATCAGAAACATTTAACGAGTTCATTTTTTTTGGCTCAGGTGTGATCATTCAAAATAAAGGGAGATAAAATTGTGATGGTAATTCGTTTTCGTTCAGTAAGGGGTTAAGGCACGTCGGCAGCTGTTTCGGTTCTGCATCAGAAACCCCTGTAACGTTCTGTCTGCTTTATCTCCAACCGCGCTCTTCCCTTCTCCGCTGGCCCCCAGCCCAGACGAGCGCTTTTGGCAGAAGACTCCTAGTCCCCCAGCTTCTCTCATCCTCATCTACCGCCAGAGAAATTGCGCACCAAACCAACCTAACCCAACCCAACCCAAACGGGTTTTCAGCGAGCGACATTTTAAAACGCGATACGCCCCGGCCCGTCCTTGAGAAGTCGAGCGGGTCGCAAGCCCGTGAAAATGCTTTCCTCGCTTCTGTTCTCGCAGAGGCCATCCCCTTTGTTGACATTCTGCCTCTGCGGTTGAACGAATGCAGGGAAGAACGCTGGATATTGATGCCTGAACTACTTAAATATTCAGTGCAAGTTCACTGATGCGGAAATTCCTTACAGGCCCCCGCAGTGCCGCCCCCCTC